ATCCCAAGCATACTCTATGGACTACAATTGATGCACATCTCTTGAGTTGCATAACAGCAACTCTATCACCTTCACTTTTCACATTTGTAATTCACTGTCAAACTAGTTATGATGTTTGGCATACTCTTGCCAAACGGTTTACTTCTCTTTCTCGATCTCATATCCATCAACTGAAGAACAAATTAAGTCATATTGTGAAGAAAGGATCAACTATGGAAGACTATCTGCACAAATTCAAAGTCCTTGCAGATCAGCTTGCTTTGGCTTCATCATCAGTTGATGATGAGGATTTAGTCCTTTTAATTCTGAATGGACTACCTGAGGAATATAATGCTTTCAAAACTACAATAAGAGCCAGATCAGATCCTATTACTGTGGATCAACTCTGCTCTCTTCTGTGTTCTGAATCAATTCACATAGAGTCTTCTCTTAAGCATCAACAAATTTCAGAAATACCAGGATCTGCTGCCTATATTGCTCCTCGAGGCCAGTATGCTAATAAAGGAAGTCAGAAAGGCTATTATAGGGGCAGAGGCCCTTTCAGAGGAAGGGATGGAGGTAGGTTTCATGGTCAGATGTCTAGTCACTATCAGAGAGGAGGATCAAATCAGTTCCAGAAAAGTAGATATAGCTCTGCACCTAGCTCTAGCTCTGTAAACAGCACAGTCAATGCCCCGTTAATTTGTCAAATCTGTGGAAAGGCAAACCACACTGCTCTAGACTGTTGGCACATATTGGATGCTGCGTTTCAAAATTCTCAAGCTTCCTCTTCATCCTTCAAATCCTCTCCAGGTCAAAGTCAAGCTTATGTAGCCTCTGCTCATACACCCTCCATCTCTTCCCCTTCTTCATCTGAAACCAACTGGTTTCTTGACTCTGGAGCCACTAACCACATGACAAATGATTTACGTAACCTTTCTCTTTACCAACCGTATCAAGGTCAAGATCAAGTGGCTATTGGTGATGGTTCTACTCTTCCCATTGCTCATACTGGTAAAGGACTCCTTCCTACTCCTTCTTTTCCTTTTCATCTTACCAACCTGTTACATGTGCCTACTCTTTCTTCCAATTTACTCTCAGTACATCAGTTAACCAAGGATAATCATTGTACTATTACTTTTGATAAAGATTTCTTTCTTGTTCAGGACAAGAATACTCAGAATATTCTGTATAAAGGTTGCTACACCAATGGCCTTTATCCACTCATTTCTTCATCCTCTGCTGGTTCCTTTGTTCCTTCATCAGTCTGTCTTTCATGTTCTACTACTTCAGCTGATTGGCATTCAAGACTTGGTCATCCATCTTCCAAGAAGCTTCATCACATTATGGCTCATTATCACTTAGGTTCTAAGTCTTCAACTTTGTCTAACAAGACCACCAGTCTGTGTGAACATTGTTGTGTTAGTAAAAGTCATAGGTTGCCTTTTTCTTTGTCTAATTCCACTGTCAATAAACCTTTGGCCCTTATTCACACAGATGTGTGGGGTCCATTTTCTGCTTCTAGTTCTAGTTTTAAATACTATGTGTTGTTTATTGATGATTTTAGCAAATTTACTTAGGTTTTTCCTCTTCATAACAAAAGTGAGGTGCTTGACAAATTTCTTGAATTTAAAAGTTTTGTTGAGAATCAGTTTCATACTCATCTTCAACTTTTAAGGAGTGACAATGGGGGCGAATATTTGAGTAAGCCATTTCAATTGTTTCTCAAACAAAAAGGAATTGAGCATCAACTTACTTGTCCTCATACACCATCTCAAAATGGTGTTGCTGAAAGAAAACACATGCATCTCATAGAGACTACTGTGACACTTATGCATCAATCCTCTCTTCCTTTGGCTTACTGGTTTGATGCACTTGCCACTGTTGTCTTTCTTGTTAACAGACATCCCACACTCAAGCTTCAAAATCTCACTCCATATGAAGTCTTGTTCAAACAAAAACCTGATTACACTTTCTTGAGATCCTTTGGATGTAGATGTTATCCATGGCTTCAACCTTACACATCTCATAAACTTCAAACCAAATCTATTCCTTGTGTATTTCTTGGTTATCAACCTTCTATTAAAGGTTATAGGTGCCTTGATCCTACCACAGGAAGAGTCTATATCTCTAGACATGTGATCTTTGATGAATTATGTTTTCCATTTCAGTCTTCTCGTCCTTCTGTTTCTGCATCATTCCATATCACATTTGCTGAATTTCTTTTGGTCTCCCTCAGACCAGTCCAGTTCTTCTTTTCCATCACATGTTTCTACTGCAGCACCTCAGCATACACATCCCTTTCTAGCTTCACCAGCTGCAGCACCTCAGACTACCGCTGCTATTCCTCCGTTACCAGCTCAGTCATAGCAAGCTCCACATTCTTTTCCAGTTTCACCACCAGCTGCTATCCCTCAGTCAGCAGCTCAGCCACCTATTTTCTTTCCTCCTACTGACCTGCCCTCAGCTCAGGCAGTCTCTTCATCTGCTACTGAACCTCACTCAGAAGCTCAAACAGTCTCTTCCTCTTCTATTCCTATTCTATCCACAGTTCCATCTGATCAGATTCCTATTTCCAATATTTCTATTGATCTCCCTTGTCTCAATTCCAATACTCATCCATGATTACCAGATCCAAATCAACTTTTCCTCACTCTTCTTTCATTGCTTGTCCTTCTTCTTCCTCTCTTCAGTCTGAACCACAAACTTATCAACAGGCAGCCTATTCCTCTGTTTGGCAAACTGCTATGCTTGAAGAATTTCAAGCTTTACAAACACAAGGCACTTGGTCTTTAGTTGATCTCCCACCTGGAAAACAAGCAATTGGCTGCAAATGGGTTTATCGAATCAAGAAAAATTCAGATGGTTCTATAGCTCGATATAAGGCAAGGTTAGTTGCCAAGGGTTTTCTTCAAACTGAAGGGGTGGACTATCATGAGACTTTTAGCCCTGTGGCTAAGCAACCAACTATCAGAATTCTGTTATGTCTTGCACTACATTTTGAGTGGTCCATTAAGCAACTTGACATATCTAATGCATTCCTCCATGGTGTTCTTGACGAAGAAGTGTATATGGTCCAACCTCAAGGTTTTGTTCAGCCTAATAAATCTCAGCTTGTTTGCAAGTTACACAAGGCTCTCTATGGTTTAAAGCAAGCTCCTCGAGCTTGGTTCTCTACCTTCTCCAACTTTCTTCTCACTCATAAATTTGTTCAAAGTCATTGTGATTCTTCTCTTTTTATTAAGAAAACTTCTACTGCTATTACCATTCTTCTCATCTATGTAGATGACATTCTTCTGAAAAGAGAAAGAGAAAATGTGTGTGAAACTATGTGAAATATAGGCATGATTTATTCACATTTCATCTATCTTTTCCATTTTCCTTTCCAAATACCCCAACCAAACACAGTATTAGGTTATGTTTGGATATTTTGGATTTACTTTTTAAAATTGATATGAACAACCAAACAAAATTATATATATATATTAAGCAAATACATATTATATTCTTCTTATTTTTTTCTAAACCAACTAAAACAAAAGAAAGGGATTTCGCTTGTTTCATTTAATTTTCATTTCATTTCTTTTTTCTTAAACGAGTATAAATACAGGAACTACAGATAAAGAGAAAGAAAAAAAAAGGAAGGGTAAGAATCTCCTTGTTTAACTTAGAATACAAGTAACTTAAAGCTTGAGACTGACTTGTCCGTCAGAGTGCTAATTCCAGCACCCACGTCGGAGTGTTTATTTCCTTTCAGGTGACTATCCGAGGTCCGCTAGTGTCTCCCAGGATCCGAAGGGTATTTCCAAACCACTTCCCCACAGAATCTCTTTTATATATGAATATCTGTAATGGATCATTTGAATGGTTAATGGAAATAGAATTAAATTTCTCTTTCATCAAATGATATACTTAATGGTAACATTTCTTTTAAAACAAAACATCAATAAATACAATTTATATTTATAAGAATATCACTATCACAATATTTTTATGATATTTTTTATATAAATTTTTATATATAAATATAATTTTTTATTTTTATTTCGACCATTATATCTAGATTAGATCAGATCAATTTAATCTAAATAAATTTTAAAAATATTAAATTTGTACAATTTTTTTAAAAAAAAAATCTATTGAATACACAAAATAAGATAATGTATTGAATTTTTGTATTTTTATATTTTTTGTATTTGTTGAATTAAAAAAATCACAAAATATTATATTTCTTAAGTATATCTAGATTAGGTGTATCTAAAAAATAAAAAAAATTGCTTAAAATATTAAAATAATTTAGTAAAAAGAAAAAATACGAAAAATAAAAAAAAAATTCCAATTTTTTGTGTCAATTAAACCAAAAAAATATGATTGTTATTTTCTTTGAAATAACATAAACAAAATATCTCCATTATTTTATTATTTTATACGTATAAAGGTTAAGGGGCAATTATGTCATTTTAACCTGACAGGAGAGTAAGTGTAATTTTTTAAATGTGAGGAAATATCTATATTAGACAGAAACTTCGGGGAGTGTTAGTGTAATTTATCCTTTTAATTTTTACTTTGTTAAAGCCTCTGGTAGCACATCGAGGTGAGAAGCCATCCATGACCGAACTCAGATACTATATTAAAGTATCTAACTCAAAATTAATTGATAATAGAGTAGAGAGATCTTTACATTATATTAATAAAGTTTAGATGGTTTAGATTGACAATTTAGATAGCCTAACATACGTAAATTTTATTTATTTTTTATCTATCATTTTCTAGTTGCAACATTTATCTCTTTTGATTTTAACTTGTATTTCAATTTACTCCTGTAAAATTTGAATAAAAGTTGAAATATGATAGATTAAAATAAAATTTAAGTAGAAGTAATTACTGGTGAAAATTAGTGGAAGGTAAATGTGATTTACCATTTCGATTATTCCAAAGCCAGCCTTTTGTCACTTGTGACTGTTGTTGCCGGCGTTTCGGTTAAGAGAAATTTTCTTCTATCGTAGAGATTTAGGGTTTTATATGCCTCTGTCTCTTCTTATTTTTCATCATCCTCTGCACAGTTTCGGTGATTAAAGAGTCATCTATATCCATGGCTAAAAAAAGCTCCCCGAGGTTGCAGCACCCTCTCGGTAAATTTTTATTCATTTTTAAAATAGATTTGCCTCCACTTTTATGGTGTGCTTTTGGGATTACTGTCATCAATCTTGAGGAATCCTGACTCTAACTTAGAATGATTGATTGATTATTAAAAGTGAAATGAGGAATGTGTTATTACAATGAAAGTGCAGAAGTGCTAACTGTAATTAATCATAATACTACTTATTCTCAAGATGTATTTTGATTAAGTTCGTTTGGTGCAAGTCATTTTTTTATTTAATACTTATTTTTATGTTAAAAGTTTGTTTATTTTTATATGCCAGAAATGCGGCACACAGAAATTGCTTCTATTAAAGATGAGCAACGGGATGGAATTCCGGTTAGTTATTTTCATCGTATTCATGTTTGCAATGCTCATACTTTGTTTTGTGTGTTACATTTATATTGTATTTGGTTGGGAGATTTAGAGAGGGATTTGAAAAGAGAAAGAGAAAATGTGTGTGAAACTATGTGAAATATAGGCATGATTTATTCACATTTCATCTATCTTTTCCATTTTCCTTTCCAAATACCCCAACCAAACACAGTATTAGGTTATGTTTGGATATTTTGGATTTACTTTTTAAAATTGATATGAACAACCAAACAAAATTATATATATATATTAAGCAAATACATATTATATTCTTCTTATTTTTTTCTAAACCAACTAAAACAAAAGAAAGGGATTTCGCTTGTTTCATTTAATTTTCATTTCATTTCTTTTTTCTTCTCTTTCTTTCTCTCCACAAATTCAAAATCCAAACATAATGTTAAGATTAGGTTATAACGTGGTTGCTTCTGAGGTGTAGGTGATTCTGGAAAAGGCTGAAGGAAGTGAGATACTTGACATGCCTAGAAAAAAGTGAGTATTATATCTACTTTTACATTCATTTTTATTTCACACATTTTGAATGCAATTCAGATTTCATAGTATTTTGGTTATATAAATGATTTCCAAAATATAAATGCGGGTATGCCATGATCAAACCTGAAAGGGCTATGATCAACCTTTCTTATTTCACACCTTTCAATTTTTGTATGTGTTGAGTCCAATAATAACTTTCAATTTTTATGATATCAAATATATCTTTCTTATTTCTTTTGGGATGTGTAGATTCTTGGTTCCTACTGATATGTCTGTAGGCCAGTTTATGTGTGTCATACGGAAGACGTTTAAGATCAAACCTGAAAAGGCTATGATTATCCTCCTTAGGAATTTTGTGATCGCTACTGGTGAGATTCGTACTTTTCTTCCTTTTGATCTGTAAATAAAAACAAACAATTATGCAGCGGATAAAATAATCATATCATACCTTTCGATGATAGAACCTCGTGGATAAATCACGTGCTTCCAGAGTCTGATAAATCAATCGCAGCAGTGGGGTGATATTGCAATGGTGAATATCACCCACACAAACCACAGTGCAAAATGACTTTGATCGTTGTTTCTTGGGAGAGAGTCAGAATATAGGTTGAAACAGACTCAACGTTGTTTCTCTTGGATTACCCATAACCATATAACAAATATTTTAATATATTATAATATCTATCCATATCAGTTAAGATACAGATAATATCTAATATATATTATATCTATCTATATCAGTTCAAACTGATAACGTCTGTTTCAAGAGTGGTTATCCTAAATAGGTTTGATTTCAAAATCAAAACCTATTTGGATAAGGATTCAAAATCAAATTTAATGGTCATGCCACATGGGCGCCCATTACTAACATGGTCTTTATGCTCCATTTGATTTACTAAAATAAGATAAAACAGAATGAAATATTCATTCCTTAGACTCACTCATTCCAAATAAAAGATTTGACATTGTGATAGAATGTCCGTTTCATTTCACTCCACTCCGGTAAATCAAACACTCTTAAAATTTTCTTTGAAGAAAAAAAAATAAAAATTATCTGAAACAATGATTTATTTTTTTTATCAGCAAAAACAAAAAATTCATTAAAAATATAAAATTAAAGGTATAGAAAGATGAGAAGTATTGAGAGAGATTCAAAAAAGTACAAAATATCTTTACTATTGCTACTCGCAACCATCTAACCAACCCTCTGCCTCACAATTTTTATTTAAAAAAAAAAAAAAACAGAATC